ACCCAACAAATCTAAATATAAAGTGTTATAAACTAATAGAAATTGTGCAGATAAATACAAAAAATAAATAATAAACTACTTAAAAATTTTTAATTATATTTCGCGCCTTTATAATAACGTACTAAACTAAAGTACTTTTTATGATTTTGCATTTTATGGTGATTATGTTAAAAACGTAACAAAAAAATTATAAAAAAGTGATAAATAAAACTATCTGTAAACGTATTAGTGTGTTGTTGTTGTTGCTGTTTTTCCATTTGTATATTATTAACAAAAAATATTCTCGTCTACATTATAGAAATACAAAAATAATGCCCATTCCTCATACGTGTCGTAGGTTTTTATTTTTGAACATTTTTTTCGATTTCTACTACACTCACCACTCTGTTTTTTTATTTTCTTTCTGATATCGTTGATTTTGTTTTTTTCTATTTAACTTTATCATTCAGGCTCTCTTTATATTAAGTGATTAAATGTAAAGAGAGAGAGCGAAAATTTTTTTATACCCGCTGAGTAAGACTCTTTTAAGTGAATTTGTCAAATGTACTTTTTAGTTTTTGTTTTTTTTTTTTAAGTATTAGCATTTTTCTTAATAATCACATGCTGTTTACATTAAAAATGAAAAAATAACAACAAAAAATTATACATTGAAATGTCCCAAAATCATTTGCAGTTGAATTAATGTATTGTACACTAAGGTCTTGATTTGCATCGTTTTTTAGATTTGTTTTAGTTGTTTCTGGTTTAATTTATATTATTAGTGAATTCAGATATTATCGGTCTATATTTTGACAGATATCGGTGTACTGGCGAATTAAGAAAACCGTCGCGATATTGTTATACTTTTTAAATACGATGTTGACATGACAAAAAAACAATCTATTGTTAAAATGATTTCACCTTTTTAAAATTTGGGTTGAATTCATTTTAGGAGAATTTAATAGATCAGCTCAAGGCGAATCTATACGTGGCGAAACTGGGGCCGAATTCGTTATAGTTTTTATACATGATGTTGTAAGAGAATTTTGTTTTATATCATAGTCTCGGGTATGTTTATTAGCAAAATGTTATCAGCTTTTGTCCCTCAAAGGTGGAGCAACAAATAACTATTTACAATTATAACAAGTAGTTATTGTTATAGACTGTCAGATCGGAGATCGTGAGTTCGATTCCCACCAGAGACTTTATAAAATGAGCATACGAAAGGCTAGATGGAGGCCTAGGTGTATTTTTTAGGACTTCTTTCAAATTAACTAACATTACAAAGCGAATATGTAGAAGGAATATAAGAAGTTTAGCGACTCGGGACTAGATATACTATAGACTAGATATACTACAGACTAGATAGACTATAGACTAGATAGACTATAGACTAGACTATAGACTAGACTATAGACTAGACTATAGACTAGACTATAGACTAGACTATAGACTAGACTATAGACTAGACTATAGACTAGACTATAGACTAGACTATAGACTAGACTATAGACTAGACTATAGACTAGACTATAGACTAGACTATAGACTAGACTATAGACTAGACTATAGACTAGACTATAGACTAGACTATAGACTAGACTATAGACTAGACTATAGACTAGACTATAGACTAGACTATAGACTAGACTATAGACTAGACTATAGACTAGACTATAGACTAGACTATAGACTAGACTATAGACTAGACTATAGACTAGACTATAGACTAGACTATAGACTAGACTATAGACTAGACTATAGACTAGACTATAGACTAGACTATAGACTAGACTATAGACTAGACTATAGACTAGACTATAGACTAGACTATAGACTAGACTATAGACTAGACTATAGACTAGACTATAGACTAGACTATAGACTAGACTATAGACTAGACTAGACTAGACTATAGACTAGACTATAGACTAGACTAATCCGTTGTCTAGTCTATAGACTGACCGGGAATTTCATGTTTGGAAAGCTACTGCTCCTTTGAGTATATAACTGTGTTTTTGTAAAATTTCTTGATGCATCCTGGCAACAATAAATGCTCAATTCGCCTTTGACAGAAATAAACAGTGATGCTAACTATACTATTAAGTTCTAGATGCAAACCAAATATAAAAAATTTATCTCATAGGAAAAAAATAGAATTTCCTATAACTAAAACAAAAAACTGCAATAACTGTAATACAAAATATTAAACAAACATTTATAAAATACAATAACATTCTGACCATTATATGCACATTACTAAATAAAATAAACAAAATCATTTAAGATAAAAACTTAAAACATTTAAACACAAAAAAGCACGTGCAATAAAAACACACAATCCAAAGCAGACAAAAAAAGTTTAATAAATAATAATTAGCATGAATGAATCAGCCCACGACTAGACAAATAACTAGACGAAAAATAAAATCAAACAGACGGACAGACATACAAACAATAACAACATACAAGTTCAATGTCCACGAAATTCAAAACAACAAAATAAATGCATTAATTATAGCAATTATAATAGACATTAAGATGCAATTAAACAAAAAATGTATTAATTGTTTAATACTCAATATTTTAATGCTGACGTCTTAAATATTGTTTTTTAATCTTGATAATAAAGATTGTATTTATTAAGAATTTATAATGATTTATTGATAACAATTCAAATAATAATGATGATGACGAAATGACGTTGTTGCCTTGCCTTTATTTTAAATATTTAAATAATCTTTTATTTATATGTACATATGTGACAAAATATATACAAATGTATGTATGTTTGTGCAAATATAGCCTGTCTTCTACTTAAATAAACAAATGTTTATTTACACTTTTTTCTTTATAAATATTGAAATGCGTATTAAATAAGTATAAAAGATAATAATAATGAAATCAATGATTGCAGAGTGTGAATAATAATATAATAAAGAAATCAAAAAGAAAAACACTGACGTTAAACGCAAACAAGAACAAAAAACTGAAGTAATGCAATTGCAAGTGTAGTCAATGTGGCATTTTTTATTGATTAAATATTGGGGAATTCATATTAGAGATGGCAAATGAATGATGGCAAATGAGAACAGTCTATAGACTAGACCAATCTATTGTGGTCCATAGAAAAGTCATTAGACTAGTCCATGACAGTGCCAACACATTTGGCACTGGGTTCTGTTTTATATGGATTTTGACCGGATTACATTTTATTGAACAATCAGCTGTTGAAATGATTTCATATTATAATCGATTCGATTTTGGTGTGATTCAAAATTCAATTGAAAATTTTGTGGAATATAATTAGAAAAATTTGAAGTATAATTAGAAATAGTGTAGAAATTGACTTGCAAGAAAACCTATGAAAAATTCCGACCCGTTACCATATTGTTTAAATTACATTTTTTTGTCTTGGTCCGCTGATAATCAAACATTTGTTACGCCCAAAATAACATTCATATATTGAATCCGTTTTATAATTGAAAATTTTGAAAATGTTTAAAAATCTTTTTACAAAAATTGTGTTTTAACAGTAAACAAATATTGTAAACAGAGACAGTGTTGACAGTACTCATTAAGTCACTGCTATCAGCTGTTCTCACAGCTGTGCCTGTGAGATCATCTTCTATTAATACGTCTAGGGATGCTGTCAAACATCACCCTGGTTGACATTTTGTAATGAATTCGTTCTGCTTTAAGTAGAAACTGAATCAACACAACAAATAACAGTTTAGTTAAATAATAAGATATAAAATTGTATGAAAGAAAGATAGAAGAAGGTATGTAGTCGGTTTTTTTATGTATTCCTATAGTTTAAGTGCTGGAAAATAGGTCAAGTTCTTTTTTGTTTGTTTACAAACCCTTTTAAAACATTTTTATTGTGTTTGTAATACTTATAGAAAGATGTATGTTCCTTTTTACCATAAATTGATGCTGGTCATTGAAAATAAATAAAATAACCTGCCACATAATACACGACTTTGAAAAAAAAGGTTTTACAAAAACGGGGGGCGAGTAGTTAAACCCAAACCAATAAAAATATAAAATTAGAAATTCCTCTGTTGTATAATATAGATGTTTACGTACTTTTATAAACTAATAAATTCAAATTCTTTTTGTATACTTTTTTATGTCATTAATTATTTATTTCGCTTATTTTTTTCATCATTTTGTTTTCATTATTATTCTGACTGAAATGTTAGTATAACGAAAAGTGAAAAAAAAAATTTTTTACACCGGCCGGCATTTTTCTTGTTTATTGTTTATCATACACAATTTTTCAGCATTTTTTTTATTATTTAATGATTTATTCCACAATTTTTTTATAAATATTTGTATGTATGTTTGTGTATGAATGTGATGTTTAGATTCTTGCCAAGGTTGTTTTTATAGTGTTTTGATGAAATTTTTTTATTATTTATTTTTCTTTTCATTTCGTTTTTTTTTATACAATTTTCTTAAAGATAAACATCTCTCACATTTGTATTTTACATAAACAATTGGGTTTTTTATTGCTGTTGTTGTTTACTTTCTAATAACACCATTTCCTATTTGAAACAAACCAGCACCCACTCCTCTTTGTATAAAACAAAGTTGTAAAAAACTCATTGAAAACAGTGTAATTGTAATAGTAGCAGAAAACTTTGCTGTAAATAGTTGTTGTTATAATTTTTGTTGTAGTTGTCACATTTTTATTTAAACGCCACCCTATAATTACATAGTCGTTGTTTTTGTTGTTGTTTTTTTCTACTTCACGAATAAAAAGGGGGTAAAAAAAGTAACTTGTAAAAAACATAGTGGTGGTTGTTTTAACATTTGTTGTGTGTTTATTTCACTTTTTACTTTATTTTCTATTTATTCCTTAGAAAATATACATTTTTCTAACAAATTTACTACTGTAACTACTACTTGTTGTTTTTTTTTAAATACAAAAAATTTTCTTTATTAAAAAAACGAAAACAAAATGACATTAGTTGAAAATATTTTAAAGATTTTATTTGTAAAACCAAAAAAGTTAAACCAAAGAACTAAAATTAATAAAATTAAATAAAAAAAACTCAACTCATATTAAATAAAAATTTAAATGAATTGTGTAAACGTAAATAAAAACTAAAATCAATAATTTAAATAAAATACGAAAAACCTAAAAAGAAAATGAATAAAGTTTTACCCTGGGAGCATTTTGAAAATCTTTATAAAGTAATATTGTTAAACACAAACAAAATAATTAAATAACTAATTTGTAATGGTTTGTATTTGCAGGAACTAATAGGTCAAAATAGTAACGATAGTTCTAGTGGTGGTGGCCACAGTGGCTTAGGATCTGGTCCACCGGGTACACCAAATCCACAGCAAGTTATGCGTCCCACACCCTCACCCACTGGCTCCTCGGGTTCACGTTCTATGTCTCCAGCAGTGGGTAAGTTGTTAATGTTGTAATTATTAAAAGAATGTTGAAAACATGTTGTTTTTTTCTTTAGCACAAAATCATCCTATATCGAGACCCTCTAGTAATCAATCTAGCAGTGGACCCATGCAACAGCCAGGAGGTGGTCCTCCTGGTCCACCATCTCAACAAACATCGCAACAACAGCAATCTCAACAAGGTCCGGGAGTTCCAAACTCTTCCTCGTCGGCGAGTAATTCGCCTCAACAGCAGCAGCAGGGACCGCCCTCTGGTGCGTCAGGTGGCCCACCTGGTTCTCAGCAACAGCCACCACCGCCACCAAATCAGAATGTCAATAATCTGCCCTCACAGCCATTACCTCCACAGGGTCCTGGTGGTGGCCCTGGTGGCTATCCCTTACCGCCTCATATGCATGGCAGCTATAAGTTGGGCGGCCAAAGTCCTGGTCCTCAGGGCATGCTTTCCGGTTACCCGCCACCACCGCCTCAGCAAGCTCAACAATACTCTCAAGGAAGCTATCCACCACGACCACAATACCCGCCAGGTGGTTATGCTCCCACACCACCTCCTTCTAGCCAAGCTTCCGGTGCTAATAGTATGCCACCGGGCAGTGGTCCCCAGCAGTATCCGGGTGGCCGGCCAATGCCCAACCACAGTGGTCCCGGTCAATATCCACCCTATCAGAATTGGGTACCACCTTCGCCACAACAAGGTGGCCCTGGTGGTCCACCACCCGGCGGTCCCGGTGCTCCTGGTGCTGCGGCCATGGGTAATCATGTTCAGGGCAAAGGCACACCACCTCCACCTCAAGGCAGTGGCTCTCCAAGACCCCTTAACTATCTAAAACAACATTTACAACATAAAGGCGGTTATCCCGGTGGTCCGGGCGGTCCTCCACAAGGCTATGGCAATGGTCCTGGTATGCATCCCGGTATGCCTATGGGACCACCACATCACATGGGTCCACCACATGGTCCTACCACCATGGGACCTCCGCCCTCTACACCGCCGCAATCGATGATGGTTGGTGCTGGTGGTGAAACGAGTAGCGGTGGTTCTGGTGGTCCTCCACCACCGCCAGATCATATATCACAAGACAACGGTCTAAGTTCTAGTTCATCGAGTTCGGCTCCTGGTGGTCCACAACACCCTGTGACTTCGGTGGTGACTACTGGTCCAGATGGTGCTCCCATGGATGAGGCCAGTCAGCAGAGTACAATATCAAATGCATCAGCAGGTGAGTAAAAAGAAAAGTGAACCTAAACTAACCTATTTGTATCTGACAGTAGAAAAGTCAATATACGCTTTAATGTGAAATAATATTTCCTTTTTGGATCATTTAACTGTCGGTTCAAATATTTCCCAAATATAAGCCGAGTGATTAAAATTCGGCTCAATCGGAAGCCGAAACAGAATGTTGTAATTTTCTTGATAATTTTCTTGAGTAACAGTCGGTAGAAACATTTGTATTTGGCTAAAAGCGGAATAAAATTTCTTTTCGAATCTCTTTCGTATTCATCCAAATATTTCCCGATTACTAGATTGTTGCAATCCAAAGCCTGAAGCGAATATTCTCTACATTTATTTGTTTATTTTATTGAAACTAATATTTAATTTCCTTTATACTAGCTTCTGCTGAAGATCCCCAATGTACTACACCAAAATCGCGCAAAAATGATCCCTATGGCCAAAGCCATTTGGCACCACCAAGCACTTCTCCCGGTGGTATAGGAGGTGGACCACATCCTGGTCATCCCGGTGAAGATTATGAAATGAATTCACCACCCAATTGGGCTAGAACGCCAGCCAGTCCGGTAAGTTTTACCATAAACCTACTTAACCTTAAAAGTAAAACTTCCACTCATGGCCAATACATTTTCACATTACAGGGTTTCAATAGTCATGTTCCTCAACAAGATACTTTCCGTACAACGGCCACACCCGTAACCACAGTCGTCTCAGCGTCTGCCAAGAAATCCGATAGTCTTTGTAAACTTTACGAAATGGATGATAATCCCGATCGACGCGGTTGGCTTGATAAATTGCGAGCATTTATGGATGAGCGGCGTACCCCAATAACAGCCTGTCCAACCATCTCGAAACAGCCGCTCGATCTTTATCGTTTATATTTGTACGTTAAAGAACGAGGCGGATTCGTCGAGGTATGCAAGGTGCCGTAGCAAATTTCCTTTTACTAACTTCTTTTTAGATTTACTAGCAAACCCAAAACCAAAAAAAATCGTATCACCAAACCAAATTATCCAAAAACCGAAACAAAATTCCAAACCAAAAAAAAAAGAAATGAAAAAATATTGTAGAAAATCCAAAATTCAAAAAAAGAAAACCTTAAACAATTTTGCATCCATAAGTACAAGAGACAATATTTAATATACATATTTTTAGAAAAGCATGTTTTTTATCTTTTACTTTAAACAAATTTTAAATTTAGTGAAGATTTTAAAAACAAATTTTGTGTTTTTGTATTTCTTTGAGAAATTTAAAATTTGTTCATGTTTTTGTAAATTTGTAAATGTCTTAAGTGTTGTTAATTTGTTTTTGTGTTTTTTTTTTAATGAATTTTTTATTTTTTCCTATATTTTCTTTTCTTTTTTTCTCCTTAACGTTTGTATACACTTACTTTTGTTCCTATTTTTACTCATTTCCATTTTCACTATATACCAGTAGTTGCTACTCTCATTTTCCATATTAATTGTTTATTTAAATAATTGTAGTTTATTTTATATTTATTTATATTTAATATTCATATATTTTTTATATAATGTAAGTAGTTAATTATATTTGTTATATATGTACTAGTGCCCGGTACGCGTTACAGGCCCTTAATTGGACATGTGGACTCTACACGGAAAGATCTATATACCCCTTAAATGTTAAAATAATCGGTTAAGCGGTTAAGGTTGAATTGGCTGAAAATTAAAACGTTGACGCCATCCGTCAGACAAATTGCAACTTCATATTAACACTTCTCGCGATCCCTGAAACATTGTTCTGAAATTGTGTCCTATCCGTAGTTCCTGAGTTTATCGATTTATATAGATAGATATATAGATAGATAGATAGATAGATAGATAGATAGATAGATAGATAGATAGATAGATAGATAGATAGATAGATAGATAGATAGATAGATAGATAGATAGATAGATAGATATATAGATAGATAGATATATAGATAGATAGATATATAGATAGATAGATATATAGATAGATAGATATATAGATAGATAGATATATAGATAGATATATAGATAGATAGATATATAGATAGATAGATATATATATATATATATATAGATAGATAGATAGATAGATAGATAGATAGATAGATAGATAGATAGATAGATATAGATATAGATAGATATAGATAAATAGATAGATAGATAGATAGATAGATAGATAGATAGATAGATAGATAGATAGATATAGATAGATAGATAGATAGATAGATAGATAGATAGATAGATAGATAGATAGATAGATAGATAGATAGATAGATAGATAGATAGATAGATAGATAGATAGATAGATAGATAGATAGATAGATAGATAGATAGATAGATAGATAGATAGATAGATAGATAGATAGATAGATAGATAGATAGATAGATAGATAGATAGATAGATAGATATAGATAGATAGATAGATAGATAGATAGATAGATAGATAGATAGATAGATTGGTTTGATGCAACATCAGTTCTGAGATCAAAAAGGTCCATGGCGATACCCTTTAACAAGAACAAAGGAACACAAAAAAGTAAGAGACCATACTCAATAAAAATGGTTCCCACGACAATTAGATCTTCGCTCTGGAATGACCCGAGGTTGTTCCGAGGTTCCCGACCACCGTAGTGTTTTGCAGGCTGAAACATTAGGTATTAAACTGGGAAGATACGAAGTTAAATACATTTTCATTCAAGACCCCCAAAAGGGCTATATATGGAGTTTATAAAAGATCAAAGATAGTCCTTAAGAGATGTCTAAACATTTCACAAAAAATTGCGTTGCATTCTGGTTCATCAACAGATACCTGACAACACACTAGCGAATTCTCTTGCGAAAATTGACTCTTCTCTAGCCATACAGCTTTCAAATGTAAGCGTTCCGTGATAAACTCTACAAGCATACATACAATCTAGATGGTCAACAGAGGCTTCCGGTTGAATGGCGAAGAACCTACTTCGATACTCTTGGTGTAATTGTAACCTTGTTGGCATAAGGCTCTATAGCAGCAAATCGTTCGATCTGTTTTTAATTCTACGAGCATATCTGTGCAATATAGGTGTTCAACCGAGGTTACCTTTAAAATGGCGATGATTGTGCTCAGCTATTTCACGCCAGAAGATTAAATCTTTCAGAAATAACTTCTGCAGAAGTTGTAATGAAGAAAAGGATGTCACCCACTGTCAATGGTAAAGATCAGGTGTCAATCAGACCATGAGGATGATAATACAATACTATGATCACACGCCAGAAGTTTAAATCTCTCATTAACAACTTTTGCTCTAATTTAAACCAAAACATATAAACAGATCAAGATCTTAAAGTTTCAGGAGACTTTTGTCCTCAATTTAAACATATTAAATCCTATTAAAATTAATTTGTTTTATAGATTATTATTAAATTTTGTTATTCTTAAATTTATTTTATTGTATGTATGTATATGTATGTATGAACGTATATATGTTTGTTCTGCATTTTAAATTATTTTTTACATTACTTTTATATATATTATATTCATTATCCAATATCTCACAACACCGAAACTAACTTTATATTTGTTTCCACCTAAAACTTTTCGTCCAACTTAAAGGTAACAAAAAGTAAAACCTGGAAAGATATTGCCGGTCTATTGGGTATTGGTGCAAGCAGTAGTGCTGCGTATACATTACGCAAACACTATACGAAAAATCTATTGGCATTTGAGTGTCATTTTGATCGTGGCGATATAGATCCATTGCCGATAATACAACAAGTAGAGGCTGGTACAAAGAAAAAATCAACCAAAGCAGCTTCAGTACCATCGCCAGGTAAATTATTTGTTATTTTTCATAATTCCACTCGAACACAATGAAGTATTAAAAACAAGCTGTTGTAAATATTATAGCTGGTTCATCAAATTCACAAGATTCATTCCCAGCCCCTGGTGGTGCTGCCAATACATCGATGGATGGTTATCCACAATATCCAGGTAGTTATCCCGGTGGTCCGGGACCACAGCCAGATTATGGTGCGGCTGGACAAATGCCACGACCACCATCACAAAGTAATGCGCAAAGTCCACATCCAGGTAAGTGTAGAAAATAGAAAAATTGGAATTTTTTTTAAATAGTTTTTCATTTTGAATTTTTTATTTTATTTTCATTTTTTGTTTTTAACCAATTATTAATACATCATCAAATCATTACCTTGTTGTTGTTGTCTCAAAATGTAATTTGAAAATCTGCCACAAACATCATATCAACAACCAAATAATCAATCAATCAATAAAAAATAACTCATCACACCCATCATTTGAAACATTTATTTTGTTTTTGTTGCTATTTAAACATCATTTACACATCATTTACACACCATTTACACAAACACCCATCAACTCATCTGTAATGTTTTTGCATGCATGTTGCTGATGTTCATCATGAAGGTACAAATAATCAAACATCTACGGCACCTGGTGGTGGTGGTGGTGGTGTTGGAGGCGTTGCAAGTGGTGGTAGTGATAATATAAGTGTCAATAATCCATTTGATGAGCCTGTAGGCAGTGGTGGTGTTGCATCAGCTTCTAATACAACTGCCAGTGCTACAACTGGTGCACCACCACCTTCTAGTGCTGCACCTCAGTCCCATCCACCACATCCTTCAAATATAAGACCACCTTATCCTCCTGGTGGACCATACCCGCCACCGGTGTCTCGTACACCAGGTACATGAAACAACACATGAATCATTTGATACTCCTTTTTTCTATCTCTTTCTCCGTCTCACTACTCATTTATCATACTGTTGTTGTTGTGTGTGTATTTTTCGGCCTTCTACTTCTCTCTCCTTGTGCAAAATTGTGAATTTTTTCTTTTGTTTTTGTATTTTTTTTAATTTCATTTATTTTTTTACTTTTAACTATTTTTATTGGACATTTTTAAATGATATGTAATTTGTTTAACCATTCTAGGTTCTCCTTATCCTGGACAACCCGGAGCTTACGGACAATATGGTTCAGGTGATCAATACAATGCTACCGGGCCTCCTGCCCAGTTTGGCCAACAACAGGGCCAATTTCCGCCTCAAAATCGTAACATGTACCCTCCCTATGGACCCGAGGGAGAAGCGTGAGTGACTTTAATCTTTTCTAGCACATACAAAACTTAAACATAGAAAACATTAACATAAACAAAGATTTAGTTATAAACAACTGTATTGTTTTTTTTTTTTTTCATATACATTTATATTCTCCTATGACATTAACTATTTTATTCCAACGTAAGAACTTGAAATTGACTTCTTTTCTCTGTTTTTCTTCATTTTCCCGTTTAGACCACCTTCTGGCTCGAATCAATATGGTCCTTATGGAAATCGTCCATATAGTCAACCACCTCCCGGTGGTTCGCAGACCCCTACTCCTCCTGGTGCTCCTACAGCTGCTGGCGGTCCACCCCAAAGTGGTCCTCCAGCACCTGGCAGCTCACCATATCCTCCACCCGGTGCTCCTGGCCAACAAGAATATTATAGGCCTCCAGATCAGGTAATTTTCGCATAACTTCTGTCAGTTTAGAGAATTTTTTAACTTTATTTTCTTTTCTTTTAAGGGACCTCAGCCACGACGTCATCCAGATTTTGTTAAAGACTCACAGCCTTATCCTGGCTACAATGCACGACCTCAGCTTTATGGTATGTATTAGAAAATGTTTTTCGTAGATTGAACTTCTCTTTTTAACTATAAAATCCTTGTAACTAATAAATTCCTGTATAATCTTTATCTTTTTAGGTGGTTGGCAAGGTGGTTCGAATCAATATCGTAATCAATATCCATCATCTCCATCGCCTCAAGCATGGGGTGGAGCACCGCCACGAACCTCAGCTCCACCGACTGGTCCATTGGGACCGCCCGGTCAACAACAGCCACCAGCTGCCGGTGCCGCTCAATGGGATCAGCATCGTTATCCGCCACAGCAGCAACAACAGCCACCACCTCCTCAACAGCAGCAGCAACAACAGCAACAACAACAACAGCAGCAGCAACAGCCACAGCCACCCTATCAGCAGCAACAACAGCAAGGACAACAGCAGCCGACACCACCACAGTGGGCACAAATGGGTGGAGCTGGCACTGGCGCACCTGGAGCACCACCAAGTGGAGCGCCAGGATCTCCTTTAAGGCCTCCCAGTGCTGGTCAACAACAACGTATGCCCGCCAGCGGCGGTCCCGGTGTTAATATGAATGTGGGTGTAGGACCTGGAATAGGTCCTCAAGCCGGGCCACCAGGTGCACCTCCCAACACCAGTAATGCTTCGGCAGGTAATGTTCAAATGCCTCCCGGCAGTATGGGTAAACCGCCCTTCTCCATGCCTCCACCACCACAGGCTGGCGGTGGTAGTAATGTTGCTGCCCCGCCAGGCAGTAATCAAGGACCTGCTGGCACTGGCATTATGCCACCCGGTGTCATGGGCAATCAGCAAAAGCCCATGGGTATCGTAGGTGGTCCCGGTGTAGTGGCGAGCAATGTTCCACCACAACCTCAACAGCCGCAGCAGCCACCACAAGCATTCGCTCCCCCCATAGGCCCTGCTGCTCAATTAATCAAGAAGGAAATCGTATTTCCTCCCGATAGTGTGGAGGCTACCACACCGGTATTATACAAACGTAAACGCTTAAATAAGGCTGATGTTTGTCCCGTCGATCCTTGGCGTTTATTTATGGCCATGCGTTCGGGGCTTTTAACCGAATGTACTTGGGCTTTGGACGTTCTAAATGTCCTGCTGTTTGACGATTCCACAGTACAATACTTTGGTCTATCACATTTGCCCGGTTTATTGACTCTGCTGCTGGAGCATTTCCAAAGGAATCTCGCCGATATGTTTAACGAGGAGGAGAACAATGAACAGAAACATTTAGCCAACAGTGTTAAAAATGCTAAAAAGATCAATAACAAGCGCAGCATCTTGCACAGCAGCATGCGCAAACGAGCTAGCGAGTTGTCCACCATTAAACAGGAGGATGAATTACACAAACAAACCAGCAGATTACATGACAATACAACAGCAGCATCATCATCATCCGATTATGACATGGAAAACGAGCGTTTATTTGCCGAGGATGAGCATCATGTGCTGGATGACTCTGATGAAGACGAAGGCATTGATTTGGGCCAAGTTAAAAATCAAGCCAACCCCGATGAACGTGTGATATTACTGGCCCATACACCCAACTACACAATGATGTCGCGTAAAGGTCTGCCTGTGCGACTACAGCCTGCCGAACAAGACATTTTCATAACCGATGGCCTCAAGTCGTGGGACATTGAGTTTAGTGGCAACTATGAGGAGACTGCGCCGGTTGGCAGCAATGCCTGGACCTATGGCTTTACTGATCCAGATATAAATGCGGGCATTATTGATGTGTTCAAGTCAGAATTTGTAGACATTCCATTTGCCCGTTACATCAAAGGCAGCCAACGCAACGGCATCAACAGTTGCAAAACGAAGACTAAAGACAGCATGATGAAACAAGTAAAAGCGGAAGAACAAGAAAAAGAGCAGGAAAGCAAACAGCCCAAATCAGAGCAAAGTGATAAAGTTCTGGAAGCCGCGCCAGCAGATGAAGAAGAGGATGAAGCTGAAGCCAGACTGCAGCAGAATACTTTCAATAAGAAACGAAGACTTTTCCATAACTCCGTTTTGAATGCCAACCCAAACACCAGCCACAACAGCACTAACAGCGAAACAGCTGCTGGTGATGCACAAGCCCTAGAACCTAGTGAAGCCAAGAAAACTAAGCTGGATGAACAAGACAAAACTGTTGAAATTAAACGTGAGGAAGACAGTGAAATGACAGCAGCTACAGCTCCCTCGGACAGTGATTGTCGAGAGGTAGACATGGAATTGGAAACAATCCAAACCACCAAAGACACGGCCACATCGAAACAGCAAAAATTCGATCCCAAGTCAACAATAAGAGATCCAGCTTTAGTGCTGCAACGCCGTCGTTCCTCGTCGTCGCTCGAAGACGAATGCAATACCCGCGATGAGTCTAGTTTGTATTTGGTCAACGAAAGCCAGGATTCCATGGCTCGTCGTTGTATCTGCATTTCAAATATATTCCGAAACTTGAGCTTCGTGCCCGGTAACGAAACAATTCTAGCCAAATCCTCCAGATTCCTGGCAGTGCTGGGTCGTCTTCTGCTGCTCAATCATGAGCATTTGCCGAGAACACCTAAGAACCGTAACTACGACCGAGGCACCGAGGAAGACACTGATTTCTCCGATTCTTGTAGTTCGCTGCAGGGAGAACGCGAGTGGTGGTGGGAATACTTGATTAGTATACGTGAAAATATGCTGGTAATAATGGCCAATATAGCGGGTCACTTGGATCTTTCGCGCTACGAAGAGCTGATAGCCCGGCCCCTTATCGATGGTCTATTACACTGGGCTGTATGTCCTAGTGCCCATGGTCAAGATCCCTTCCCCTCGTGCGGTCCTGCTTCCTCGCTTTCACCCCAAAGACTTGCCCTGGAGGCTCTGTGTAAATTGTGTGTCACCGACAACAATGTCGATCTAGTGATTGCCACACCACCCCACTCTAGACTAGAAAAACTATGTGCTGTACTAACGCGTCACTTGTGCCGCAACGAAGACCAAGTGTTAAGGGAATTTTCGGTTAATCTGTTGCATTATTTGGCAGCTGCTGATAGTGCCATGGCACGAACGGTGGCCCTACAGTCGCCCTGCATCTCCTACTTGGTGGCCTTCATCGAGCAAGCTGAACAAACTGCCTTGGGAGTTGCGAACCAACATGGCATCAACTATTTGCGCGAAAATCCCGACTCGATGGGCACCAGTTTAGACATGTTGAGACGAGCTGCCGGCACGCTGCTGCATTTAGCCAAACATCCCGACAACCGATCTCTATTCATGCAACAAGAACAAAGACTTTTAGGTCTGGTGATGTCACATATTCTGGATCAACAGGTGGCTTTGATAATTTCCCGAGTACTATTCCAAGTATCGCGAGGACCCGGCACCAGCGCCAATTCACTCGAATACAGACTGCAACAGAAACAGTTGCAGCAAAAAATGCAAGAGACAGCAGCAAACGAAAAGAAATCACAGGGATTAGGTTTAAACTCCTCCTCTACATCTGCGACGGCCACAATGACGATGTCAATGTCTAACTCGTTAATGGCGAGCAAGGAGTCAAATAATAGTGCGACAGAATTAAAAATTGAATCTGTGAAAACAGAGGCTCACGAGACAACATCTATGTCCAGCAATGATGCTGCCAACAACGCAGTAAGTGCTGAGAGTGGTGGCGGTGTAGCAGCAACGGAAACAGCTGTAGCCAACATCAGTAAACCTTCCTCATCCTCTATGATTATGTCTGCCGATGAAAATAGCAACAGCAGTTCGCAGATAACACCCTCGGCTGCCTTCAACGATGTCAGCAACAGTAGTACAAATAGCAATAGTTGTGGTACTGCAGCCAGTTCTCACAGTAGTCTTAGTCAGAATAGCATGAATAGTTCCATGGGTGGTTGCAGCAATAACAGCAGTTCCAACAATGCCGCCGCTCTGCATCATCTGCAAGCAAATAATAGCAGCAGTAGCATGACAACGTCAGCAGCTATGGCTGCAGCTGCGATGCCACCAACTACGGCGGAACACTTGAAGAGTAATATTTTAAGTTCAAACACCAATTCTCCATTGGCCAGCAGCAGTAGTAGTAGCACTAGCAGTAATATTGGTACAAGCAGTAGTGGTAGTAATAGTTTACAATTAAACAATAGTAATTCGACGACAAGCTCCTCATCTAATCAGCAACAGATACCGGCACCGCCGCCACCACCACCTACGGCGTCAGCGCCATCGCAAGCTCCAACTGCAAATACCTCAACGACCGCAGCGGTTGCGTAGTATACAATGTTACAGGCTGCTGAGAATACAGCAGTTGCCTCAACAATGTTTGCTTATCACCATCAACAACAACAGCAGCAACAGCACCACCATCATCAACAGACACAACAGCATCAGCCACCACCACCACACCATAATCTAGCGCAACATACTCCTCATATGTGGTCACAACCTTTACCCCCACTTTCTCTTCCACCACCACCTCTTAATGTCAGCACACCCACTAATACAACCAGTCTAATGGAAATGCATTTCAATAATAGCAGCCAAGATGAAGCGCCAGCAACATTTCATCCGCCATCACCTCAACAACAGCCGACACAACAACATTTTCCCAATATTACAGCCAGATCAATAATGCCAACACAAGCACAACCTCCTTATAGCAGTCAACCGCAACACCTTCACCATCATCATGCTCATTTACAGCTGCAACAGCAGCATTTGCATGCTGTCCATCACCATCATCTACCGAATCCTCAAACTCAGCCACAACAACAGCAGTCACCAACCCAGCCACCCCAGCAACAACAACAACCACAACATCAACATGACTCAAGAGATCAGGTTAAATTTTAATTTTTAAAATATTAATTATTTCTTCGTTTAATTTAAAAAAACAAAAACAATGATTTTGTCTTTCTTGTCTTGTCTTTCTTTTTTTTCATCGTTTTTTTATTAAGAAAAGTTTGAATATTTCAGACGATATAATTATTTTTGCACATTTTTTTTTTGTTTGTTAGTTATTATTATTTTATTTTTTTTTATAATAAATTGATATTTTTGTTTATCAACGTTTGAATGAAATAATAAAAGAAGATGAAGAACAACAAAAGAATTAAAAAAAAACATAGACAACGTTATATACAAAAGAGAATAGTTGGATTAAACACATTTCTTAAGAGAATGTGTTGCTAGACAATTGGAATTGTTTATAAATTTTTTATTGAAACATTTGTACAATTCACAACAGCCAGCCAATTGTATTTTCATATGTTAAAAAAGCCATGCATTCAAAAAGAAGAAGAAAAAACATCTTCGAAATTTATATAAAATTAAATTAAAAAAAAAAAAAAACTAAATTAATTATAGCTCTAATATTAATTATTTTTCATTTTATTTCACTTTAAAACACGGTTTGTTTACTTTATAAAATAATTCTTCTTCTATTTTGTCTATTAACAAATTGAGCATTCACCTGAGAATGATAGTTTGACATTGAAAATAAACTTAAGAAAAACAAACGTAAACATATAGGCGTGAGCTTTTTAATGAAAACTGCCAATAAAATGTTTACAATTCTATAAAATTATGCGAAAATACATGAAATAAGTTGGGACAAGAGAGTTGTGAATTGGTCAATTATACATTATTAGAATTTTAGTATTAATTTGTGGAAAAAGTATTTGTTTTCTTTATAAATAGAAGGGAATTTTAAGGAATAAATCATGTTAAATTATTTGTCATTTTGTTTACCTTTTTTCATTCGTTATATAGATTAATTAGTTGTTGGGAATTATGTTAAAAAATTCATAACATATTTCATAATTAGAAGAATTTATATTTTATAATTTCTTTGGCAACATTATCATGTTTATAAACAAGAATTCGGTTTTGATTTTCTTTATGCCACCAATTTCCATCATTTACAAGCCCTTAATAGCAGTAGTGTAGCATGACAAAGTTTAGCAGCCAATGACGGCAGCGGGAACGGCACCAACTACGGCTGAACACTTGAAGAGTAATATTTTAAGTTCAAAGACCAATTCTACATTGGCCAACAGCAATAGTAGTACCTCTAGCAACTTTTTAATGAAATATTTGTTGAATTCCTAAAGCAAAAGATTTCATGGAATTCTAAAAGCACTATATGGCTTAAAAACATGATTTTTTGGGAAACTTCCTATAATTTTAACAAAAGTTTTTCAATATTATCTTTAGCAACATTGTTCTGCTACAAATTGTTCCCATTTTTTTCTTTTAAAAAGAACAATATTCAGTTGTAAGTCTCCTTTAGCAACATAATGTTGCTTTAAAATTACTTTAAGATTAAACTTCAATTGTAAATTTTGCTAAAATCTCAAGTCACTTCTGCAACACGGTCCTGTGCCAATATTTTGTTTATAAACATGTTGTTATCAGTTTGTAAACTTATCAAATGTTTGTTTAGATATTTCCTTTTGCAAATTTTACCAAAATTTTGCTTATAAACTTCATTGTTTTCTTCAAAAGGAAAGTTTTTAAGAAAATCTTTAGCAATATATCTCGTATAAGCATGACATTTAAGAAATTCTCCAGCTTAAACAAAAGTTGTTAAACATTTTCCTACGCAAAATTTTACTTTGTTAACATTTTCTAAAGAATAGAAAAGATCTATTTTTGTGTTTATAAACATGACATTTTATGCTCTGGTTGTCTTTAAACAATATTTGGTTATAATTTAAACAAAAGTTTATAAACATTTTCTTTAGCAACTTTATCCTGCTTCAAAATATAATGTTTATAAACAAGTTACTTTAAAATCTTTTGGTTTTTGAAAAAGAGCAAACTTTAAGTATAAATTTAGCAAATATCTGGAGACATTTTCTTCTACATTTTTTTCCTCTGGTCCAATAATATGTTTATATACATTATTGTTTAAACTCTACTTCTCTTCAGAAAGTATGTAACAAGTTTTAGTGGCACATCAAACAAAAGTTTTAAAATAATTTATCTAGTAACATTTCCCTTTGCCTAATGGAAGTCTTTAAACATTTTCCTTTGCCTGAATAATGTTTATAAACATGTCATGTTGCTCTTAAAAGAGAAAAATGTAAATTTCAGTTAAGATTTTTCTTAAACAACACTTTTTGCTCAAAATTTTGTCAAAAACTGGACTTTTTGTTAAATTTTTTTCTCCTTGGAACAATAAGATCATATTTTCAAACAATGTTTATAGACATTTTCGTTCTTTTAACAATATTAGTATTAAGTTTATAAACATTTCAATATAAATTCTCTTCGTTTTTATCAAAGAAAACATTTTCTGTAGCAAAATCCTATTTACAAATATTTCTTTAAAAGTTTTTTATTTATTCTTTAGGTGTTAATAAAAAAGTTTATAAACATTTTCTTTAGCAACTTGTTCTCTTTTTGTGTTTAGAAACATGTCATTAAAAACTCTTTCAAAAGCCTGATAATTATTTGTAAATAATGAAAACACAACTTAATATGAACAAATTCCAACAGCATAAAAAAAATATTAATTAAATACTATTACTAACAATGCAACGAATTTATTTCCAAGTTGCTGCAACATTATTTAGAAAAGAAAACTCTATAAATATAGGATTACTTACATAAACATGGATAAATTGACAAGTATAAGACAGACAACAAGAACAAACATTAAACACAATAGGAATTATTTTTTCTAAATTAAAACAAATACAAAAATTTAAACAATTTATATAGATATTACTTAAAAAAAAACAAACCAAGCTAAAGCAAGAGTAAGAGAAAGAAACGAAATTAAATATAAAATAATAATTAAACAAGAAATAACTGAATAACTGATTATAAAGAAACCCTATATTATGAAAAAAGGTTTAAATACTTAAATTGCACATAAAAACAAAAATACAACAAATTATAAAACTTTGTATAGAGATTTTTTCCCCTTTAAGCGTAAAGCATTAAATAATATAATAAAAAAAATAACTAAATGTAAAGGTTTATAATTAAAATAAATATATTAAATTTAAATAAATAATAAATTATATATATTTAATACAATAAATAAAAGAAGAAGAAAAAAAACATACGCGCAACTTGCAAGATATTCCTAAATAACTGAGAGAAAACAATATAAACAAAAAAACAATTTTAAATTATATAAAAAAACGGCTTTTTCTGTTAGATTTAAAAATAAAACTTACTCTTAATTTATATAAAAATTAATAGAAAATATATTAAAGGAGTAAATTAAACAAAAAAATATAATAATAATAATAAAAGAAAAACAAAAAAAAAAAAAAAAAGAATTTGTAGTTTATGGTCATTATTATTAAATAATTAATTAAAATAAAACTATATATATAAATATTATAATTATTATTATTATTAAAATTAATATTAATAAATGTGTCTGCACGTGTATAAACAATTAGTTTTATAAATATATAAATAGAAAATAATAATAAAAAACATAATTACTTTTATTTTTTAAACTTTTTTTTCTTTTAATTTTTTTTCAATTAACTGCAGTATTTATTCTCTACATAATTTCTTAATTTTTTTTAACATAAACTAACAAAAACTTAAATATTAAGAAGACTTTAAAAAAGGAATATAAATTTATACAAAAAAAAAAATTAACTTTAAAAAGAAAAAAAAGAAAAACTTATATAAACTAAACTTAAATGTTAAACAATTTAATATAATATTAACAAAAATAAAGAAAACTTACATTTTTTTATAAACCACAACAACATATATTTTTTTATTATTATGATTATTATGTTTTTTTATAATTTTAAATAAACAAAAAACATTGTTTTAGTTTCTTTTTTTATAAATATTATATATATTATTATACATGTCTAATATAAACTATTATTAAAAAAAACAAAAAAAAAAAAGGAAAAAGTTAAAAAAAATACAACTCTGCTCCCTTAAAAATGAGAAAACACACTCACAAACAAACATTATAGAAGAGAAAATTGAAAAAAAAACAAACCTCTACTTTTTCTCACAAAAACAACCATAAACAAAAAGTGTTTAAATAAAATTTAACAAAAAAAAAATAAATCTATTTATAAACAAACATGTTTAGCTTATAATAATTAATTATAAGTAAATATTTCTTTGTCGTAAATAATTAAAACAAAAAACCTACCACTCATACATTAAAGCAAATAAACTAACCCTCCTCCCCCCTCCTCCCCCACATTACAAGAAAACAAACTTTAAAACACTTTAAATATTAAAACAAAAATTATATAAAATTTATTAAGTAAATAACCCTAAATATAATATAAAAAATCTTAAAAAAAAACACAAAAAAATAAACTTTAAACAATTGCTTAGTTTTAAATATAAAAATATATAAAATTATATATATTACAAAAAAACAGAAATAAAAATATAAACAAAAAACACAACAAAGAGAAAGTAAAAAATTATTATTCTTAGCTATAAATATAAATTCGTCATAAATACAAAGAAAACACTAAACACTAAAATGTAGCCTGTTCCCATACTGTCCCTTCATTAAACTTACTTCCCCCTTACCCCCTCCCCCTAACGCTGTTTAACATTTAAAACAAATATCTTAACTAAACAACCAACCTGTTCCTTTTTCCCTCTATTTCCCTCTTAAAACTCTATACATTTATTAATATTGTATAAAAAACCAACAACAACAAAAACAAAAAACCAACAAAAAACAGAATAATGAAAAGAAAAAACAAATAATAATTGTAGTTTTAACTTTATATTTAAAAAAACAAAACAAAAATAATAATAAAAATTAAAAAAAAAAAAAAACAAAGTGAATTTTAATTTAAAAACCGAAAGAAATCAGACATCTTGAAAATTCTGACACAAAATCATATCTATTCAGTTATAGTCAATAAATGAATCAATGTTGCTTGTCAATAGGCTAGTTCATAGCCTAGTTCATACTCCATAGATTAGTACATAAGACTATTCCAAAGAATAGTTCAAATAACATACAGTCAACTTGTCCATGTCAATAGACTTCTTCATAGACTAGTCCATAGGGCAGTCAATAGGTCAGTCAGTAGACTAGTGCATAGAGTAGTAAATAAACATGTCAATTGTCCTAGTCCTAGACAAGCCAATTGACTAGTACATAGACTAGCCGATAGATTAGTCTTTATCCTAGTCCTAAGTTTATTCATCAAATAGTTAACCGATAAAACGTAGGTTTAGAATAAGATGGTTTATGCACCGTAAAAAAGGTGCAAAGTGAAGATCCAAAAACAGAAAAACATGAAGAAATTAAAAAGAAAGAAAGAAGAATGAATATACATAGGTGTAGAGAATAGATGAAAGGAAAACAGGTAGGTATATTCTCAAGGGATTTCAACCTAGAAGATGTACCAAGACAGTACCCTAAAGAAAGAAAGAAATGAGAGAGAAAAAATCTATGTCCCAATATAGATATAGACACCGGCATCCGTGCCGATATCCTTATTAGACACGTTGGTAAAAACTGCACACCCATCAAATCAATTCTATTGAGGCGTTTCCCCGAAGTCTAGGGTCGTAATTCTATGATCTGTAATTCCACAAGGGGTATTATCAGGATTAACTAGACTTACTTCGTACCAGTTCCATGCACTAAGAGTGTTATATGTATTGATATTTTCTTTCCATAAATAACATATCGAAATATTGGTCATATACCCACAAAAATGTATACATTCTGTATCCTTATTACATTCTAAGATTATCTAGACTTCCGGACAAATGTAGTGTCTTCCAACGATCTGAAATGCTGTGGATAAGATTGAGTAGCATATCAATGATATAGCAGTTAAATTGACATGTAACTCAATAGTAGGGATAAATCGGCGATGCTTCCTATTTGCAGGTTGTGTTTAGACAAAGAGGACGTAGAAAGAGTATAGCATAACGTTTGTTTTGGGGCCTGCAGTGAATTTAATTTGGAATACATTTCAACCCTATCATGTTTGAGGCGAATGACTGGAGGTATGCAAGAGGAAATTTCCATGCTAATGTCGAGTTGGGTGAAGAGTAAAATGGTGACTTATTTTGTCATCCATTGTCAAATTGATTAAAACAGCTTCTGCATCGAAAAGCTATTAACACCACATCATCAGAAACGGTTTTATATTTATCTGACCTGTCAACGATTATGCACTGGTTTTGAAATAGTGCAGTAGAACTCTAAAATCTGATGGGCATTAAATAAAGTTCGCAGATCAGACATTCATTACATTTTGATATCCAAAAATACCGCGGTACTTCCGCATGTTCGGTACCTTTTCTAACTTATAGACCAGATTGTAGTCTATTATAGTCTATGATTTATTATTTAGTCTAGTTTATATAGACTAGAATATAAACTAGACTATATAGTCTAGTATATAACATAGTTTATAGTCTAGTTTATTGTTAAGTCTAAAGTCTAGTTTATATGCTAGCCTGTAGTCTTTCTATAGTCTAGACTATAGTTTAGTCTATAGCTTAATCTATAGTCTATTCTATAGACTAGTCTAGTTTTTAGTCTAGTCTATATTCTAGTCTATTCTCTAGTCTACAGTCTAGTCTATAGTCTGGAATATACCCTAGTCTATAGTGTAGTCCATAGTCTGATTCATATTCTAATCGATAGTTTAGTCTATAGTCTGGTTTATAGTCTAGCCTATAGCCCATTGTCAAGCCTATAGTCTAGTCCATAGTCTATTGGCTAGTATATATATAGTATAGTCTATTGATTAGTCTATAGAATAGTCAATAGTATAGTCTATAGTCCAGTCTATAATCTACTCTATAATCTAGTCTATAGTGTAGTCTATAAACTAGTCTATATTCTATGGCAGTCTACATACATTCCTCTAAAAATATCCTTAAAAAACATACAACTTCATTTTAGTATTTATTTTTTTTTTATATTTTTATTTAAAATTTTTTGTTATTAAATATAATTTTGTATGTATAAGTAAGTATGTTTACCATATAAACTTAAATAAAAACTAATAAAGAAACTAAATGAGAAAGAAAAACGTATTAAGAAAAACGTAAGCAAAATAAAAAATACTTTATTATTAAAAAGTGAAAAAGAGCAAAAACAATGAAAGTAAGAACAATGATGAAGAAAAAGTGTTTTAATTAACAAATACAAACGTGTATAATAAAAAAAGAGTATGTATATAAGAGAATTAAATAATAAAAAACAAGAGAAACGAGTTAATAGAATTCGAACGATAGTTGTTGCTGTTCTTAGTAGTTTACTTGGTTGTTGTTGTAATTGATTACGATACTATGATACTAATGATGACGAATAATTCTAATGAATTGATTTGTTTAATTAATGTGAGTATCTATGTGTGTGTATATGATAAATACATAAAAAAAGTTTACCATGTAGTAGTTATTGTTGTAATTGTAGTTATAGAGAAGTAATTATTAATTTACTTAATGAAGGTTGATTTATTTGTTTTATATTTTTACTCTTATAATTAGAATTTGTTAGTCTTTTTTTAGGTTTTATAACTTTATTAAATTGCATTTTAGTTGCAATTGAATCTGGGTGTAGGTGTGTATTTGCAGTGTATCTTTTCTATTGATTTTGCAAGGATTTGTGTGTGTGTGTGTGTTCAGGAATAGGAGATGTAGCAGTTTGTTTGCTGTTTAAAATTAAATAATCACTTTGTGAAAATGCGTTGTTGTTTGTTTAACAATTGATGTGTATTTATTTCCCCATTTCGGCAGGAGTATTTGTAAGTGTGTCTGTGTGTGTGTATTAGCTTGGCTAAATTTTTCACAAAATAATTTTCCAAATGTTTGCAAATATTTCGCTGCTTGTTTTTCTTTACTTTAAACTTTTTCTTCAATTTTAATTATATTACAACAGCATGCGGCGCTTAGTGTTGTTAAAACAACTGCTTCCGCTGCTGACTATGCTGTCGTTAGTGTTAGTGTTGTTGTTATTATTGTTATTGTTATAAAGATGAGGCCATCATGATGAACCAAATTCAGCCATCCATTTTTCATATTTATCTAAATCAGCTTGCGAAACACTTTTATTGCAACGACTTATGGCCTCGCTAAAATCTTGATTTGATACTGGCAAATCCACCTCCTCCTTAGCCAGCTGACGTATCTCTTCCGGTGTTAATCCCGCAATTCTACGACGCATGGACATCATACTAGCATCCCTATAAAACAAATCCATTATTAATAACAACAATTCAT